GTCCAAATTCTGCATTTCCCTAAACTCTAGACCTGAAACCCTATAAACTCTATAAACCCTTATGGCCGGCGCCTGGGAAACCCCAAAGCCCTGAACCTGGATCAAACTAGGAGCCATCTCCGGCATGTCCCTAGCCCACAAACCAAAAGGCCCTTAACCCCTGAACCAAAAAGGCCTTCAAACCTAAACCCAAAGCCCAAAAAAATCCTTAACATAATTCAAAAGTCTAAGGGCCATCCTGGCACCCTAAACCCAACCTCTAGTCTCCATTGTAGTTCCCTTTTGGGGGTTACCTTTTAGGATCCTTAATATAGAATTGGTTAAACCAAAGAAAGGAACTACAATGGAAACTGCACAAAGCCCCCGAAAATCCTTAACAAAATCCCCAAAAATCTAAGGGCTTGGCCCCGAAACCCAAAGCCCCCAAAAATCCACCCTTAAGCTACCACTGAGCTAACTAGGTAGGGCTTTGGGACATTTTATATTTCCCCTTATTGGGTTTAAGAGGATCTTGTTTACTAACATTTTTCAAAGGCTTCAAAAGCCCCACCTAGCCAAGGGCCATCCTGGCCTCAGCTCTGATCCTCGTGTGCTCGTGGGAGGCTCAGGCTTAACCCAGACCTATACGGTAGAAGCCAGAAAGTTGGAACATGGATTTAGGAGGATTAGTGCTAGGATCCCTTATACTTTACCTTAAGGGCATGAGGATACTGATGTTCCAACTTTCTGGCTTTTACTTTAAGAGTCTCTTTAAGGGTTACTATAAGGGGTGTACCTATAAGGGTCCCTTTAAAGGGATCTATAAGGGCTCCTATAAGGGATCTTTAGTCTCCATTGTAGTTCCTTTTTTTCGTTTATCCAATTATGTGTTAAGGATCCTATAAGGTAACTCAAAAAAGGAACTACAATGAAGACTCTAGGGAGGCTCAGAAGCGTTTCGGTCTGAGGTCAGGTTTAGGAATCTGGAGCTTCACCCTAAGGCTCAAAATGCCCGCAAAAGCCTGATGTACTATGGTCTTTAAAACCCTAAACCCTAAACCCTAAACCCTAAGCCCTAAAATGTGAGTCCTTGGAGCCTTGGTGTTAGGGTTTTTGGGGGTTCAGTTGGGTTTGGGGCTGTAGTGACGCTAGAGTGTTAGGGGTTTGGGGGTTTAGAGTTTAAGGTTTAGTTGGGTTTGGTAGGTTGGTAGGGTTTAGTAGGGTTTTTTGGCTCTAGAGCTTCAGGGTTTAAGTAGGGTTTAGGGGTTTAGGGTTTAGTAGTGTTTTGGGGTTGAGGGTTCTGGGGTTCGGGGGTTCAGAGTTGAGGGTATGTATTTTGGACTTGCCGAGAAGGTTCTGGTTCTCAGGTGCGCGGAGGGCCCGATACCCCTTATTCGCAAGAAATGGACCCTACAGTTTGCGTGGACAAATATTACATATATTGTGAGTAGCAGGACCCCCAAAGGGCCCTTTAATTGAGACCTTATGCTCCTTATTTGTCTGAACTTGGGGTATGATAGAGGGTAATTAGTTGTGGTCTAGATTATGACGTATGGTATTTGCCTTAACTTGCTGGTTTTCTTTGGATTCATTCCTGTATCTTGGCTGTTCGTGTTAAGTGTACTTTCGTCTGCTTCTTTATTGTTTTCTGTTGGCGTTCCTTTGTGTACGGTTGCTATGTGAGTTTCGGGTTTCGGGAGTTCTTCGGTTTAATATAGGGGCCTTAGATAATTACCGATGCTTAAATCCTTGGGGTCCCTACATATTCGTATACTATAATGGAGCCCAAACCCTATTCGAGTTCCCCGGTTTTCTGGCGTCATGGGCTGGACCCTACCTTAACCTACCAGGACCTGCCTTTTTCTAGGGTCCCTATAAATCCCATATTTTAGGGTTTATGATGAGAACCTACGAAAAATGGGTTGTTTTAGTAGGTCTAGGTAAAGCCATAGCCCTAAACTCCAAAGGTCACAGACCCGAGCAGAAAAGCCTGACACCCTATAAATGCGAGACCCGAACAAAGTCAAAGCCAAAAGTCCGGTAGATCAAACGAAGACCTTACCCATAGGCTCTATAGTAGTTCCTTTCTGGGATTACCTTATATTCTAAATATCAACCCCCCAAAAAGGAACGACTTGGGAGCCTCTAGGTAAATTCTGTACAACCTCTTGCAAACCAAAGCCATCAAGTCCTAAGGCCACGCGGCCCTTAACCCTACAGCCCGAAGTCGGTACCTAGAGGCTCCAAAGTAGGTTCATATTTAAAATCCTATAAGGTGATCCCAAAAAAAAGAACTACTATAGAGCCTATGGGTAAAGCCCTGAACCCCAAAGCCCCAAACTCCGAAATTGTAAATCGGAGCTGAGAGTGAAGCCCCTTCTTTGGAGATACCCTAAACCCTAAACCCTAAACCCTAAACCCTAAACCGATTCCGAAGGCTGGGCCCCAGCGTGTTTACGATCCTCAATCCGGGCACGGAGGATAAGGAACTCTGAAGGGTGGGTTTACCTATAGTCTCCATTGCAGTTCCTTTTTGGGGGTTACCTTTTAGGATCCTTAATATAAAATTGGTTCAACCAAGATAAGGAACTCTGAAGGTTGGGTTTAGGGCTTAAGGTTTAGGTAGTTCTTGAAAGGATTAAATATGGTCCTGTGCAGTATAATGACTGGGGCTACAAGGCAGCCCGCAATCCTATTGTGCTTAATTAATTACGCTTGTCAGAACTTGGTGGGCTCATGACAGCTATAGGGTGGCACTTGAAGCCAAGTACCTGGAGCACTGTCGCAGAAAGGAAGGTTTCTGATGTGACAATGCAGAATTCATGGGAACTCTGGCTAAGTAGGTTTTGGTTTAGCTTAAGGTACGCAGAAGAGTCCTGCCAATGCGCAGGGCCTTTGCGGGGTAATTGACCTCGTGCTTCGCATGCTTTGTGGGGTGCCCGGGAATCTGTCCGACAATTTTGCCTTTAAAACTCACGAGGGCGCCTGATCGTATACGATATTTAGCTTTTCATATTCGTTCATTTATCTATTGATTTGTTGTTTTTTTATGTGTGCGTGTATGTGTGTTACCCATCATAGTAGTTCCTTTTTGGGATTACCTTATAGGATTCTAAATTTGAACCCCAAAGAGGAACTAATTACTTTGGAGCCTCTAAATTTATATATATATATACATATGGGATATGTACCATAGGTGTTAAGTATAGGTTTGGTCCTCAAAGCAGCTCTGCATAGTACACCGTACATGGGGCTCCTTATATGAACGCTCTTGAGGAAAACCGGCACTCCGGGTTATGACACATGCCGTCATTCTTGTGGTTTCCACAAAGAGCCAGTTCAGGCATCTAAAGCTTAGCGTCGTAGAGTTATGAACTTCGCCCGCTGGAAACATGCCTCTGAGAAGGCCGGTTATGCGGTGCTGCAAAATGGGAAGCTCAGCGCTCCTGTGTGCAATATAGGGGCCTTAATAGTTAGCTATGCTATTTTGGGGGGGTTCCTCATTACAAGTATAGTATAATGTTTCTTGAAACCTTTTTCTAATTATTAAGGCCCCCATATCCCATATCACCCAAAACCCCAAAACAATGATAACCTAAGCCCCCAAAAGAAGTGCTGGCTGTTGTGCCCACAGGGTCCTATGTACTGTTATGGGGGGGGGGTACTTCCCTGGATCATAATCTAGGATGCCCAGTAGTACCCTTATTCCCTTTTTGTAGTCCTAGGTTCCTTATAAAGTTACCCAATACCAAAAAGAGAGGCCTTTTTATTCTTAGGTTACTGGGTATCCTAGTAATAGTAACTCTTAATATAGAAAACTATATAGGTACATCGAACTAAGAAGCTGCCCCCACCCTGTAATAGTGAGTATAAGGATTCTATAGGAGTATATTAGGGCCCTACTATATTCCTACTATACCACTATTACAGGGTGGGGGCAGCTTTCCAGACCTTCCGAAACCCCTTAATTAAGGAATATACCTTAAATCATATTAGGGACCCTATTATTTTTAAGGTATATTCCTTAATTAAGGGATATTGGAGTCCTCTAAACCCTAAACCCTATAGATTCCTTAGAGGAGCCCTTAGAGGAGCCCTAGGAGTTTTGGAAGGTCTGGGTTCGAACATAGAACCCTCAGTGGTAGTGTGTTGGCCTGATACGGAGTGCCTGCAACCCTTAAATGGGAGTTTCCGAAAATTTGGGTGGTTACCTTAGGGTTCCTTTAAAGGGTTACCATAAGGGTACTATAAGGGTTCCTTTAAGGGGATCTATAGGGGTTGAGAGTTTCCGAAAATTAGGGGGTACCTTATTTTGGGGTCCTTATTGTAGGGATCCTGCTATTTAGGGTACTATATGAGGGTCCCCTATTTTCGGAAACTCCCAAGTTCCCCCTATTTTCGGAAACTCCCAAGTTCCCCCTATTTTCGGAAACTCCCAAGTTCCCTCTCCTCATTTTTGTGAGTACCGAGCTGTGAAGACCCAAGCGCTGTCTTGTGGCTCCAGTGACACGTGCCATATTCTAGGAGCCTCAATGATTAGAACAGGGTTTGGGGGGTGTCTTAAACTATCGTTCTAACAAGGAGCCCCCAAAACCCTGTTCGAATTATGGAGGCCCCTGCATTACCCCATCGCTTAGGGTCAGAACCGTCTTTGCTGTCGGGTTTCGGGCAATGGGTATACATCGCAAACCGCACCCACAAGATGTAAACCCCTGTTGACCGAATCCGCACACCGCAGCCATGTTGAGTCAAGTGATCCACTGCAGATCTTTCCTGCCTGAGGGGTTTACCTAAGCCCCAAATCGTAAAAACTCAACATATGCATACAGAGAGCCTCGTTCATCATAATTATGTAATATGTCTTTCAAGTGTACGTGGGCTCCGTTACACATGTGTAGAAAACTCATCATATAATTGAGCTTTGCAAGCAGCTTTTCCAATCGCCACTCATTAGCAGAAGGAGCCCGGCGCCCAAGTAGGGATTCTAGGCTATAGTTTGGAGGCCTCCGTCACGTCAGAAGATGCCGGCATTCTCTATCCTTCGTTTTCTGTCGATTTGCGACTACCTGGCGCGTGTTGCAGCTCGTTTCTCAGAAGGCTGTGAATCTATCGCTGAGCTTTACCGGCTGAACATGTCGAAGATCCTGGTGCTCTCCCGCAGAGCCGCGAGGAGGGATGAAGAGATGGGATACAGGGATCTGGTGCTCTTTGCACCTCTGCTTTCTGCAATCCGGCGTGAGAAGACGGCCCCGCTGGCCTCATGTCCCTGCGTTTTCGCAGCTGCTGCTACTGTAGGCATCAGCATGGAGATGGCTGGCTTCTCAGTCTTCCAACATCAAGTAACATCAAAGGTTACGGTTTAGGTTTCAGGGTTTAGGGTATCAAACCTCGTAACTCTTGAAGTTCTTGACAGTGAACTACTGAGTCTAGCAGGCTTACTGTAGACCCCTGATTAGCAGCCCTCTCACTTTAAGGGCCTTGGTATGGGGATCCCGATTATTATCCATTGTTAGGTAGGGCTTGGTAGGGGGCAAGAGAGGTTTGGAGTACGGCGCCGTCCGCACGAACTTAGACTACATGACGACCTTTGGCCGGCTGAGCATCCTCGAGAGCGTGCCCTCGACGTCACATCAACCGGGGAACGGTGGGGACACCTTCATATATGAGGATACAGATCCTAGTGTTTTGGGGTTAAGCTCCAGCAGTTTCAAGTCTCAACCTGTGAGGAGGTAGGGTAGGGTGTTCATCTTAGTTAGTTGGTTTGGTATTAAGGAATGAATCCATTCATTAACTAGCTGGTTGGTCAGTTAGCTAGCTGAAGAGCCAGTTAGCTAGTCATTGGTTAGTCAGGTAGGTAGGTAGGTAGTCCGTTAATGCAGCTAGTTGGTTAGTTAGATAGTCAGTCAGTCAATCAGCCCTTCAGTCAGTCAATCAGTCTGGCCGTCAGTCAGTCCAGTAGTTGGGCAGTCAGTCAGTGAGTCAGATAGTTCGTTGTCCTGATGCTGCTTCCGTTCTGCACCTTTTCTGCAATTCCGACAACTATAAATATAGGCTATACCGGCACACGTTTTTACACTATATCTATATGTATATATATATACACACACACATTGCATTTGTCTTGTTTATGTATGTATGGATATACGTGTGTCTTTATTTATGAGCATCGTATGTGTGTACTTATGTGGGTATGTATATGTATATGTGCGTATATACAGGTGTATATGTATATGTATATGTATATGTATATGTATATGTATGTATATATATATATATACATATATATATATATATATATATATATATATATATAGACATATACGTGCGTGTGCATGTGTTATGACATTGACCGTCTTATCAATATACTTATGCGCGTATATCTGTGCGTATTCACTCAGCGGTGTTTGGGTCTCGAGTGCATAGCGTATGTGTAGATAGATAAAAAAGATGGATAGATAATGGATGGATAGAGCGATTGACCGATGGCATTGGTAGGCGAAAAAGCTCCCTCACCCCTGAGGCCTGTGACTCTACATCCTCGACTCAAAACCTTTCAAGCCTACCCCAGCATGCCCTTGTGCACCCTTCGAAACATCGAAACCCGTGAGATAGCCCTCTACGACCGGAAGCCCTGAATCCGCCCCCCCCCTTACCCCCAAAGAAAGATGACCAAACTTCCAAGAACCCCAGCAGAAAGGTGCTGACAGACACCGCGAAGTTGTGCGTCGAGGGCGGAGCCCGCTTCTGGCCGATCCAGTACGCGGAAGCTCGCTAGTTTTGGGGGCCTTGGGCTTCGGTTTCTTGTGGCTCCTTAGTATAGTTACAGTTTCATGGCCCCAAACCCGATATTAGGGTTTTCTTACCCAAAGGGGCCAAAGTACCTTTTTGGTAGAATGTAGGGTTTTTCTATGGTAGGAAGTACTATTATGATTTGGGAAAGTATCCCCCGCAACAGTACTTGGGACCCTTTAAGTGTAGCAGTTTCGACTTTTTTTGGGGGGGGGCTTGCAGTTTATAGTGATGAATATCGGCAGGTTGGAACATGGAGTTATAAATGATTAGTGTTGGGTTTCCCTCCAAGGGCATTAGTTGGATACTGCCCCCCACTCAGCAACGAATAATATTTTTATAGTAGCGAGTTATGCAAGGCCCTGAATCGTAGCTCCTTATCCGTTGTTACTATATGGGGCAATACCCAGGGCTTTTGGATAGTGATAATCCAACTTTCCGGCTTCTGGTTGAGAAGTTTAGGGTTTTTTCTGGTTTATAGGTTTAGGGTGTTGGCTGTAATGTTCAGCGGTCGAGTAGTGTAGGGGTTTATGAGTTTGTTTTGTAATGGTGCAGGGTTTAGGGCTGTCAGGAGGATTCTTTAAGGGCTTCAAACTGATTTGAGGGAGGGAGCAAGAGCTTTATCAGGATCAAAAGTGGAAATGCGAGTTGTTTTTCGGTGTTCCTTATAATGCGGAACCCATTATCTGCAAGGTTCGCATCGGTGTGCCCTATTCTGACACTAGGTGGCATTCAGGGTTTGGGGTGTGCGAGCCAGCGTTTCCGGTCAGGGTTTTGGCGTTTTGCTTTGGCAAGGTTTCACAAGGGATGTAACTATCGACTGTTGTGATCAAGAGTCTTAATGAGTGCTGTGGGACCTTGCGAATGTTTTACCAAGGCCAACCACTCCTAATGCGGTGTTGTATGGTTTGAGGCATGTTTTGCGTAAGCATCTCTTGGCGTGACATGCCACCCAGGAAAAGTTGCGCTCGGGTATACACGGCTATGTGTTGGAGAACCTGCAAAGCATCGACGCTTGGGCTGCAGAATCTCAGGAAGAGGTAACCATCACAGATGCTGAGCTTTGGAGTACCATACTTTCATACCTTTTTTCTTAAAGAAACTATGATGAAGTAATAGTTTATGCGCTTTTCTCCCTGGTTACCTAGAAGCCCAGGATGAACAGCATATCGATGCACTGGCCGACGCAGCAGCGGTTTTTGGTTCCGAAGGGCTGGATTGGTGGCCCGCGAGGGGTACTCTTATTGCCTTGCTCCGCCATGGTAGGCGGAGTGGCCTGCTGTCCCAGGGTAGGTTACTTTGTCATAGTTGGGTAACAGTTCAGATTTCTATGGGTACTTAAACCCAGTAAGGAATAAAAAATACTTTCATTCCTATCCCAACCATGAACTAGGTTAGATGTTGTCGACCATGATGTTGATGTCATGGTCGGCGTGTCTAGCGACGAGGAATGGGTCCAAAGACGACCCGCTATTCAAAAGAAGCTTGAGGCACGAGGTTGGAATGCCTGCTTCGAAAGGCATTCCGTCGCTGCTTCTTATGGCAGTTTCGAATACAATCTTGCACGCAGAGACCTGCTTTTGTGCACCAGGACAAATCCTAAAGTTACGCTGGACATCGCAACATACATCACGGAGGGTCGTATCGCCTTTGCACAACAGTATTGTCCCAGTGATGGCATTGGATGTTGGATTCCTCGAAACTGGGCTTTGCTTTGCAAGGGTTCTTTCGTGACCACAGATAGGATGTCTTGGACATTTTCTGGCAATGTAAGTACCTGTGTTGTGCTATAAGTTCCTTTTTAAGCCCTTTGTACAAGAAGCTTTATCACCTCTAATGCAATCCTTTAAAGCTCTGAACAAGAGCACTGAACCCTGAACTCTGATCTGATAAGCCCTACCTAACCCTAAGGGTCCATGTACTCATATGGTATATATACATTGGCCCTAATGTACTCCCTATATAGGTACACTGGGCCCAAAGTATATGCTATATGGGTACATGGACCCTTAGGGTAAGAGCGGAGGGAACGATGGCAGCTTCCGCGGCGGTGAGGGGCGGCTGCGGGTTTCGGCGATCCAACCCTTCGGCCGATGTAAGGCGGGAGACCTCTCGGTCCCTTGTCCCAGAAAGCCCCTGGAGGCTCTGTGACTCAGTCTTTATACGATTGCTCCGTTGTGTTTCGGATTTTAAACGGGGGTTATGAGGGCTTACAGTCTGATCTAAAGTCTAAACTCGATCACCCGAAAGTAGTTTTGTTCTCAGGGCCATTAATTAGTATAGGGCTCAGTAGGGAAGAAGGATGCCCTTAGTCTTGTCCTAAGGCGTTGCTGAGAAACCTGCCGAAGTAGTGAGGTGCTCATGAGTTTTGTTGTAAGGATGAGGGCTTCTCATTCGCTGTGTCTTGGATTCAACTGCTCCCTTAGATTTTGGCTTGTGGAGTACGACAACTGGTCGATGAGGTGAGCAACTGAGGCGAGCCATGATGGGCATCAACTTTACAAAAAGCTGCGTTGCACTGCCTGACATCAAACAACGCCTCGATCGCGACATCTATGCGAGTGACAAAGACCCATGGCTTTCTGAAGGTTTGACACAGGAGGATGTGGATATCTTGAGGCAACGGGCTGCTGATCTCGACAGGGACGGCTACATGTCCATGACCCTGGGCTGTTTAAGTTGTTTTTAGCCCTGGCTCGCATAGTGTACTAAGTGAAAGTTTAAGTAAGTATGTAGATAAACCGGCCCAAAAACTCTGACTGTCTAAGGGCCTTCGCAGCCCAGGACCCTAAACGCAAAAGCCTGAATCGCTGGACCCTAAACTCGCAAACACAAAACCTTACACCCTCGACCAGAAAACGGCCAAGGACCCATGTACCTAACAATCCATGTAACCTTCGTTTCAAAACTGCTATCCTAAATCCACATGCACACACACACACACAGACAGTCATCGGGTCCTTTGCATCCCTAGGGAAGCAGCCAAGGACCCCATACCTGCACTGTGCGGAGTCTTTGGCTTAAAGCGCTCAGACTCCGAATGCTTGCGCCTACGCTCCAACGTCTTCTCGAAGGGGGCACCAAGCCCATGACGATCTCTGCCTTTAACTGAATAATCCTGCAGCATAGTGTGTTGCCAATATTTGTTGTTGTTGTTGTTTATATGAGGGGGGTTTGTGGGGTTGCTGGGAAGCTCTTGCAAAGCGGAGGACATCCTCATCCCAAACTACAGCACTGCAGGGCTGCGAGGAGAGCACTGGTGGGTGGTCACCGGGTCGAAGCAGCTGCTCCGGGCAAAGCACCCGTACGGTTGTTGATATAAATCCTGGATTAGCCATAATAAGGATTGTGCAGTACTTCCCATAGTGTAGGGTCCTTAAGGTAATGCAGGATTTATACCATCAACAGTATGAATGCTCCATTGAAGTCTCGTCAGAAGCTCCGGGTCTACAGGCCCAAAAGTTGGAAACCCCGTAGCCTCAATCCTTAAGAGTAATGTATTGGGAATCCCAGCACTGTTTCCAACTTTATGGGGTTTACTGTAGAGCCTTCAGGATTTCGGGTGTTCTCTCTACAAAGGGAGTCATGTCTTCATTCCGCTTCTTGCTGAAGGAATGAGCAAAAAACTGGAACAAGTGGCCTCCCCTCCAGCCACGCCCCCCCCCCACCCCCCGGCTGGGCATAGCTGGCTACTCGTGCCGCTTCTTCCCACGCTTTGTCATGTGGCGTCTCAAAATGTTAGGGGTGCCGTGTTGGTGGTCCTCGCACACGAGATCCTATCAGGGGTGGGTAGAAGTAGCAACATGATCCCCATAAACCCCTATACATTAATGGTTCACGTGTCCAGAAGATCCCAGAAGCACTGTTCTGAGAATTCAAGTCCCACCTATATTCTCTCCTGGTAGTTCCATTTTTTGGTTTAACCAATTTTATATTAAGGATCCTAAAAAGTAACTCCCAAAAGGAATTACAATGGAGACTATAGGCAAAATCATATTAAGGTTTCCATGCTTGAAGTCCTGATTTTGGCACCTCTGTCTGGAAGGCTTGCACTGAAGGGTCGACGTGGCGAGCGGCTGGAGTGGTTTACCCTAAGGCTCCATGCTTCCTATATAGTTATATAGTTAGTACATACTGAGGCCTTTAAGTAGCCAAAAAAGCGAACCCCCTTAAGGCTTAGGTGAATATTAGTAAGTTAGTCACGTGGAGCCCTACGGTTAGGGGCTTAGGCGGGTTTGCGGCTTGAGTCTGCTATGGGACGGCCTTGCGCGCTGCTGTGGCAAACCAAAAGGCCTCTGGCATTTAGGGTTTAGGGTTACTCTGGCTCCACACAGACGTTCAACCGTAGGAACTGTGTAGACGCGTTACATACGCCGCATACCGGAAACTCTACGACTCTAGGCTCTTCACCTACACCCTAAGCCCTCTTAGCTCTCGACGCCACGCATACACCTTAACCCCTGAACCCCATAGACTCTGGAAAGCCTCGCATGAGTACACCCTGAACCCTGAACGCAATCGCTAAACCCTCGACTATATATTTGTTTTATGAAGCCCTCAAAGCTTATGGACTGTTCGCCAGGATCCGCAACACACGTAAACCGAAATGCTGCATGTCTATCGTCTACAAGCCTCATAAGGTATCCATAAATGTTGTCTACAAGCCTACAAGGTCCTTTACAGAGCCAGCTCTTCAAGTCACCTGGGTTCTATGATGAATCCATGAGGGTCTTAAATGCAGCCTACAACGAATCCATGAGTTCAGGATTCTTGAGTTTGTGGGTCTGGGTTCCCCTCATGTTGTTTGGGTTTTGTAATCGGGAAGGGCTACTGGAGAACCGAGTCATCGGTCCTGTCTGCATTGGTTTGCAATGGTTCGCTAGTACAGTAGAAGCCAGAAAGTTGGAATATCATTATCGTAACCCCTTTAAGGTAAATTATAGGGGATCCTACCATTAATACATATTCCAACTTTCTGGAGTTCCCTTTACACCCTTATGGCACGTGTCTGGATTTGAGCATTAGCACTCCTAATAGAATCCTGTAGAGGCCCATAAAGCCCTGCTGAACCCCATAAAGCCCTATTCTAAGTAGTATACCTATATATATATATATATGGAATCCTACTGAACCTTCATGAAGTCATATTCGAAATATCAAAACACCGCCATCTTGCCTCCATGGCTGCTTTCAGTGCTCCGAGTTCGGGGTTTCAGGGATGGGGCTCAGGTTTCCTTACCTTTGGATAGTAGGGAATGGAAGAGTGGTAGTAATCTATAAGGGTACTGTAATATGGGGGGCCTTAATAATCCTATAGCTTACCTTTGGTTAGTAGGGAATGGAAGTATTAGAATGGTAGTAATAGTAGTTATAATTGTACCCCATTCCTCCATTCCCTGCTAACCAAAGGTAAGCTTCAGGGTTCAGGGCTTTGCCTATGCTGTCGCAGCCGTAGAAGGGCTTCAGAGGAAGACATCTTTTATGCTGTATTTCTGAAATGAGGGGTACTGGGCTCTCTGAAGACTCCAAGAGGCCAGTGAGCTTGAGGACTAGACCTTACACCATAGTATAGGGTTTTAGAGTCTGGGGATGTTTGGGGTTTAGAGGTTTAGGGCCCCCTTTGGTTGTACAGATGCTGGAATCTGTGAGCTTGTTGCCTGCTTGCCACCGGTGTATCCAGCCTCAGGCCTCATTTTTTCCAACTTTCGGAAAGGCGTTGCCCTTGTAGCCTTTGTTCGGGTGGTCTCCTTCTTATGCCGAGTGGTCTCCTTCTTATGCCGAGCTCGAGAGATACTATGGGTTGCTGAGGAACTAAGACATGATTAGCACACTGATGCATCGCTCCGGTTCTCAAATGTAGCAGCCTGAATATTCAGCAAAACTGTCACGATATTCCTTAAGGGTTCCTGATCATACTTATACACTTATACCGTACTGCACCGCAAAAACCGTATTCCAAGCTTCGCATTAGTGCGAACATGTTTTCAATCTATGACGGCCTTTGTCCTTGACTTCCTCGAGCATGGCAAAGTCGATCGAGGCCGGCAGAGATGGGGTCCACGGGTTCCAGGGCTTGCTCTATCCCTAAGGGTCCATATAAGGGTTCCTTTAAGGGTACTTTAAGGGTTACTATAAGGTTACTATAAGGGCTCTATAAGGGATCTATTAGGGTTCTATAGTTTAAGGGTCCATGTACTCATATACTAGATACATTGGCCGTAATGTAGTCCCTATATAGGTACTTTGGGGCCCATGTATCTCTATATGGGTACACGGACCCTTAGGGTATAGGAGCCTGAGTCGTCAGCGCAGGGTTTTAGTGTGTAACATTCAGGAACACAAGGTAGATGCTTCCTTGCATGCCATGGGGATGAAAGCAGAGAAGGAAGCTTCCGTTGTCGAATTATCCGGACATGACTTGACCAAGTTAAATGGAGGCTATGGTTTGAAAAGGGCCCATAACAAAGATCTCTGTTTCTTACCGGTGCTCAGGCATGATGCGCTGTGCGCCGAAGGCCATGAGACCCAAAGCCCAAGCCCGTAGAATCCAAACCTGAGCCTTAAACGCCCAAACTCGCAACCCCCGAATACGATCGGATCCGCCGAAAACCCAGGGACAACTAACCAACACATCACCATGTGATATGGAATGCTCAAAACCTCGATTTTTCCCCGCTCAGGTACCCACTTAAGTTTTCTGTATTATATGCCCGACACCCTTATAGGCCATGAACCCGATCCCCGATCCGGGCTTAAGCCAGACGACGAAGGCCTCCTCATTCGTGCGGAGAAAACCCCGCGTGTAATAGGGATGTTGTTAAGTTTGTGGTTGGAGGTGGTCTTTGAGGGTGCCAGTAGGAACTTGTCGAATCGTGGCTTGATGTGTTCTTTGCAGGTATTCGTTGGCTATAAGGGTTCTGCCTTGAACAGTCCTTTAGCCTCGTTCCCCTCAAGGTTTAGGTTGTGTTTTTCGGAGTTGGGGTAAGGTCTTGGCCCCTTTGAGAAGCCCTTCAAGTTTGGGGACGTCAGGAATCTGGCAGATCCAAATCCGTGGTCAAGGAGGACGTACTATAGTGTAAGGGGCCTCTACTGATTAGACTAGGGTTTTGCGGCCCATTATACTACAATCGCACCGGCTGTACTCCTGTTGGAGCGGGTTGGGAGTTGGGGCTAAGGGGTGCAACCAGGGATGCCACAAGGGGTTGAGAGGGCTTTGAGACGGATGCCAAGCGTTTGGGCTGTTTGGGTCTTGCGACTTTTAGTTGTTGTGAGGGTTTTAATTGCAGTATCTGTGGTCATTTGCGGCTGGAAGGTTCGATGACTTTCCAGTGAGCTGAAACCCCAAAGGGTCCTAAGTAGCAATATGGTAGAATGTAGGTTTCTACATCAGGACCCGGGATAAGATTATGATTTGGCAAGTAGGGATGGATGCCGTATTTAGGATCCAATACACAAAGATCTGGTCTTGCCGCTTCTGCATTGGGCTGCCTATTGTATGTTCTGGTAACTCGCACATCAGTTCTGGTTGGAAGAATCCCAGAGCCAGTCGAGCCCCCAAGCACCAATGAAGGGTCTGAAAAACTGTTTGCCCTCTTCTACCGAACTCTCTTCCTCAACCTTATGCCCATTGTTCAATGTCCCAAGGCCTTCGCAACCCTGAAGCCCTACACTGCCCTACACCCAGCGTGCAACACATCACAAAGCCAGAATCCCGCACACCCCTGTTGAAGCCATCTAGTTACACAGCTTGTCGAACAAAACTGAACGAAATCACCGAATGCGAAAGCCCCTGCAAAGATGCAGAAGCTTCTGTAAAAGACCATTGGGGGCCAGTTTGAGAATCCCCCAGGTCATGCCAAGGGTCTGCGCCCACAATCCCTACCTCAAGGGTCCCAGCTCCTTAGATTCATACACCATTTACAAACACTAACCAAAGTTTCAAGAAAAGTTCCTCAGAATCTTATATCATGTACAACCACTGGCCAAAAGTACTACTATCCCGAACCCAAGTACGTACCTGCTAG